CCACCCCAGGGTCCCTGCCCCTCACCCCTGCAGGTTATAGAGGTCAGCAGACGCCACCCCAGGGTCCCTGCCCCTCACCCCTGCAGGTTATAGAGGTCAGCAGACGCCACCCCAGGGTCCCTGCCCCTCACCCCTGCAGGTTATAAAGGTCAGCGGACACAACAGCCGCACTGCTCTCTCATGAGACACCGTCTTTCCGGTCCCTGACCTGGCGATACATCTGTTCCTTGGTCTTTGTACTTGGATGTCCGCATGGTTTTCCGGCAAAGTGCGATTTACCCTGACAGTGGTGCTGAGGACTCGAACCCGGGGCGCCACCCGCCCCGCCGGCCCGGCCCGTCTGGCAGAGGCCTACCTCGGTCATGACCATGTCCTGGCATTTCTTCACGTACTTCCCGTCGGCCTTGACGATGGTCTGCAGGAACCGCAGGTACTGCACATGGCGGCCGTGCGTCTCGATGGAGCGCACGAAGTGCTGCACCACCCTCTCGCTGATGTCGTTGCACAGCGGGTAATTGTTCATGAAGATGTGCCGCAGCGTCTCCGCCTCCAGGAGCTATGCAGAGAGAAAAGACCAGCTCCAGCCCACAGAGGTGCAAGCACACCCCTGCTCAGGACCAGCAACGACTTCATACTAGCAAAGGAATCTCACTGGAAAGAAAAGCCACCATCTTTCATGTTGGAAATAGAGGTGGGGGGGATGTTGTTTTATGCCAGTCATACGGCTTGAACTCAGGGCCTGGAGGCTGCTCTGATCTCCTCTTGCACAAGGCCGGCGCCCTACCACGTGAGCCACAGCACCACTTCTGGCTTTTTCTGTGATGTAATTGAAGATAAGAGTCTCACTGATTTTCAGGCCCACACTGGCTTCAACCTGTGATCCTCAGATCTCAGCCTCCTGAGTTGCTAGCATTCTAGGCATGAGCCAGCGGTGCTCAGCTAGCTATTTTGCTCAAGACTGGTGCGCCACCACTTGAGCCATAATTCCACGTCCAGCTTTTTTTGCTGTCTAATTTGAAATAAGAGTCTTACAGGACTTGTCTGCCCCAGCTGGCTTCAAAACATGATCCTCAGATCTGAGCAGTTAGGATTACAGGCATGAGCACTATTGCACAATTCAGCTGTATTGTTTTCTATGAAGCCATATTTATCTGTGCAAGCCTCCTACCAAATGCAATGAGATCATCAAAGAAATTTAGCTCAGAAAGGAGTCTCACTGGAGAAAGGAAATGATTATCTTATCATGTTGACAAGTTCTTCAGATTAATTTAATCCTCTGTTACTCAACCTTAGCTCTTCCTGAAGATCTGCTTAAACACACTGAACAAAGCAGACTTAACCCCAGCCTTGGCTTTCTCATAATTGTTTATCCTTGGTGTTTTCCACTAACCTCTTGGTCTACTAAAACTTTTTCCTAATATCAGCTAGGCAAAAAGTGAAACTTTTAAATTTTTTTTAACTTTTTACCAGTCCTGAGGCTTGAACTCAGGACCTAGGCTCTATCCCTGACCTTTTTTTTGCCCAAGGCAAGTGCTCTACCACTTGAACCACAGCACCACTTCCATCTTTTCCTGAATAGTTTATTGGCGATAAGAATCTTATGGATATTCCTGCTCAGGCTGGCTTTGAACCACGATCCTCAGAACTCAGCCTCCTGAGCAGCTGGGATGACGGGCATGAGCCACCAGCACCCGGCTAAAAATGAAGGCTTTTACTTCATAGTTTTTCAGCTTATTGTAAACAATTGGAAATAAAAAGATCATCAATTTCAGGGAGAGAATCTCTGTAAGGCAAGAATAAACAATCAAATAAGTAAGCCACATGCTGCTACAGCTCATCCCAGCTACTCAGGAGGCTAAAATCTGAGGACTGCAGTTCAAAGCCAGCCAGGGAAGAAAAATCTGAGATTCTTCTCTCCCATGAATCAGCCAAAAGCCAGAAGAAGGGCCCTGAGTTCTGTCCTTGAGCAAAATAGCCAAACAAGAGTGCGAAACCCTGAGTTCAATACCAGGTACTGGCGTGATTAAAAAAGAAAAGAAAATGAGATTTGAATAAACTGTTCAGTAATCCTGATGAACTAAAATGAATGCACCCTTTGTTAGAACTGTGAGAATCCAGTACCGTACTTACACCCGGAGTTAGGAACAAATTCAGGTGTTTGTGAAGGAGAGCTTGGTTCTGTGGGTTTCCCCTGCAGAAGTTCTGCAGGAACGTGTGGGCTAGATTCATCACTTCCATCATCTTCTCATCGTTCTGGAAAATCAGAAAGCAGCCCAGGGTAGTCACAGGGCCAGGTCCCAACGCGTCCATCAGCGCGGGGGCCGCACCCCCCCACCCCCCACTCCATCTCGCCCGGCCCCTCCCCTTCCTCAGTGTCTCTCCTCCATGTTCTAGATCTTTCTCTGACTGTCATTATTTTTTCTCCTATATTTGCTCTGCCCCTCCCCTTTCCCGTTGTTCTTACTTCCCATAATTTCTTCCAACATCTATCCCTTCCCGTCTCTTTCCCTCCTGGGAGTTTCTATTGCTTCCTTCTCCTGTCCCACCCCTTTAGCCCTCTGCTTTACTTCCTTCCTCCCTCCCTCCCTCCCCGCTTCCTTTTCTCTCTCCCTTCCTCTCTCCCTCCTTTTCTCTCTCCTTCCCTCCCCTCCTTCCTTCTTAAAGCCAACAAAGCAAGTTTAGCAAGTCTCTGCACTTGGAGAGGGGTCTCCAAGAGAAATCCCGTACTTTTAAGTGTTTTGTGCTGGTCTGAGGGCTTGAACTCAGGGTCTCATTCTCTTGGTGGGCTTATTTTTCTCAGGGCTGATGCTACCACTTTGAACCAAAGTTCCACTTCCAGCTCTCGGGTGGCTTTTGGAGATAAGAGTCTCACAGACGTTCCTGCTCAGGCTGGCTTTGAGCTGTGGTCCTCAGATCTCAGCCTCCTGAGCAGGTAGGATGGCGGGCACAAGCCACCAGTGCCCAGCAGGAAAACTTCTCTGCAGCCTTGTCTTACATGTAGTACTCACATCACATGGCAAAGCCAAAAGCGAAAAGGACCAACCTTTTCATAAGGTATCTGCAGAAGATCCAACACCACCGAATGGGCACCCATGTTTTTCAGGAGTCGTTGATGCTGATGGCGACATTTTTTATTCTGTACACAGAGTTTGCTCAGCCTGATCAAAATCTTTAAAAAGGAATAAAGCATTACATACAATCAACAGTAGTACAAAGTAGAAGTTACTATTATCGTTATTTTATCTTATTCCAGTACTGAGGCTTGAACTCAGGGATTCACTCTCTGGCTCATCTGTTGATCCAGGCTGGTGCTCTACCACTTGAACCACACCTCCACTTCTAGCTTTTTGCTGGTTCATTGGAGACAAGAATCTCCTGGATTTCCAGCCTGGGCTGGTTCTGAACTGCAATCCTCTACGTCACTCTCCTGAGTAGCAGCTAGGATGGTAGGCATGAGCCACCAGCTCCCTTATAAAAGCGATCTTCCAGGTTGCTGTGACCGGTATGAAAAGCACTGGCGGCAGCTGACCTCCTTCACAGTCCGGTAGTTGTTGCTTTTGTTGCTGTCGATCTGGGGTGCCTTCAGTCCATCTTGTGCAGGACTTAGAATGTTTGATTCCTAAAACACAGACGACCACGATTAAACCCTGCGCATCTTCCTAGCAAACATATTTTGTGCCACACCGTACATCCGGTCTGCAGCCATTCTGCCATCAATTCTTTCTCAGCCTAACTTTTTAGTAAGTTTTTTACTGTGAAGATACCGTACAGAGGGTTACAGTTATGTGAGCAAGGTCATGAGTACATTTCCTATCAACCATTGTTGTTTTTCAATTTTTTTTTTGTCAGTCCTGGGTCTTGAACTCAGGGCCTGGGCACTGTCCCTGAGCTTCTTTTGCTCAAGGCTAGCACTCTACCACTTGAACCACAGCACCACTTCTGGATTTTGAGTGGCTCATTGGAGATAAGAGTTTGATGGACTTCCTTGCTCACACTGGCGTGGAACCACAATCCTCGGCTCTCAGTCTCCTGAGTAGCTAGGATGACTGGTGTGAGCCACCGGCGCCCAGCTTCAACTTGTTTTTGATTACCTTTCCAGTTCCTTGGCTTCAGTGAGCCTTAAATATGACTGAACCCTAATAAAAGCTAAAAACAAGATCAGTAAGATTCATGACCCTACTAATCACAGATGTTAAGTTCAAAAGTAAAAGTTATACATAGGGCTAGTGTAAAAACATGTAACTTTCAGAAAAAATGTCATGATTTTATACAGTGTGGGAGAGTGAAAATCCAGAGCCCTAAAAGATAGAATTTCATATTCAGGAATAAACTGTAAGGAAAGAATGAAAAAGAAAAAAGACCCTGATACAACAGCTGAGTACGGAGGGGAAAAAAAGAGCAATTTAACCCAAAGATTCCCTGCCCGGTTATCCTGACATTCGCTGGAGTCACGACTCAGAGCCTTGGAAATGACGAGAGGAAAATCAAAGCTTCAATGATCAACTGTATTTCACATGACCATATCCATAAAGCTTATTTGCTATTCCAGAAAGACCCAAAGACTTCATTATAATCATCTTTCTTGTGACATCAAAATAAAACTCAAGTAAGAGGCTGTAGGCTCCCACCTGTCATCCTAGCTTCTCAGGAGGCTGAGATCTGAGGACCATGGTTCAAAGCCAGCCTGGACAGGAAAGTCTATGAGACTCTTTAGTGAATCAACAACAAGCCAGAAATGGAGCACTAACTCAAGTAGTAGAGCTCCAGCCTTGGGTGGAAAAGCTAAGAGATAGCACCCAGGTCCTGAGTTCAAGACCTAGCATTGGTGCACACACGTGTGGACGCGCGCACACACACACACACAAGCTAGGTTGGAGGCGTGCCTCAAATAGTAGAGCACAGCCTTGAATGAAGAAGCTAATGAGAGCAGAAGACTCCTGAGTTCAAGCCCCAGTAATGGAACTAACAACAATAAGAGTAATAATAATGATAAGCCAAACAGATCTCATGAGCAACAAGTTGTCTGCTATTCTAGCCTAAATAAAGAGATCAACAGAAAGGGCAATGCTGACTTAACCACTGGTTTTCTGGGTTAATCTCTCCTTCCTATATTTAGAAAGAAACACACTTCAGCTCCTCACGCTGCTGATGCTCACAACTCGTTCAAACGTGCTACCTTTGATCTCTCAAAAAGGATGACACAATGGGCTGGACAGGTGGCTCAGTGGTAGAGCACTCGCCTAACACGCACGAAGCTCTGGGTTTGACTCCACAGTACCACACACACAGAAAAAGCCAGACGCGGTGCCGTGGCTCCCGTGACTAAATCCATTCTCTCCTCCTCTTCATTAGAGACCAGTCCTGATACCAGAGTGACCGGGTACTGGGATAAAACAGCATCATCAGAAGAAGACAGGCTCATTGGGGACCGCACTGGTGGTTGTCCCGGGACTTCCCCGTGTCGGCAGGCGCATTTCCAATTGATCTTCGTGTTTTACAGAAAGTAAAATGGCAGCAGGAACATTGCATGCAGTGGGAGACCATCTTTCCCTGCAGCTATCCGCTCCTCCCTCACGGAAACCGGCTCAGAGTCGACGTGCCGGGAAGGCGGGAGACAAGGCCAGTGGCTCTGTGCCACGCACAAAGGCTGAGTGTGGATTCTGCCAGGGAGCCGGCCACAGGCCGTCTCCACTGATGCTGGGGCACGGCTTCCGCTTGCAAGATGTAGCTCCCTTGCGTAATGTACATTTGCTTCTCAAGTGTGTATGTGTGTGTGTGTGTGTGTGTGTGCGAGCCCACACGCCAGTGTTGGGGCCTGAACTTGGGGCGTAGCACTTGATTGATTGATTGATTGTCAGTCGCAGGGCTTAAACTCAGGGCCTGGGCGCTGTCCCTCAGCTCTTCAGCTCAAGGCTAGTGCTCTACCACTTGAGCCCCCCGCTCCACTTCTGACTTTTTGGTGGTTGACTGGAGATAAGAGTCTCCAGGACATTTCTGCCTGGGCTGTCTCTGAACCTTAATCCTCATCCTCTTGAGTTAGCAGGGATTACAGGCATGGCCACTGCCACTGGGCTGTAGTTAGGATGCTTCAGCACACTGGCTGACTAGCCCTGCCCCATCCTTCAGAGGAGACCTGTGCTCTGCATCTGGATAGAACCCGTCTCCAAGTCCTTAGCCCCTACACAGCAGACCTACTATTAAACCAAGCATTTGGGCATGTTGTTTGATGAGTGCTTATTATGTGCGCTGTTTGACCGTCAGAGCCCTCCCAAGCATGTTAGATTCAAGACATTGACTTTTTAAAAAGGAAATGACACAACTCAGCTCTAGTAGCTCACGCCTGTAATCCCAGCTACATAGGAGGCTGAAGATCGTGGTTCAAAGCCAGGCTGGGCAAAAAAGTCCAAGAGACTCTTATGTCCAATGAACCACCAAAAGCCAGGAGATAAAGAGCAAAAAAAGCCAAGATAGAGCATCTAGTCCCTGAGTTCAAGCCCCAGTTCACACACACACACACACACACGAAAATTGTACACAAGATGGTTCCAAAACAAAATATCCTAAAACGCCTCACAACAGCAAATGAAGTCTTTTCTAAATCAAACACAGGCCCAGGGCTTCCCCTAACATTCCACGGGTGAGGGGTTCGTTTCTACCGGGCCGACAAAGCACAGTGAATGGCAATTTTGGGGTCGCAGTTGTGCGCTTTGTGTCTTGCGTATTTGAAGTTCTAGGCCCGTGCTGCTTTCTGGGAGACCTGTGTCGTGCAGGAAACCCCCCCTGGATCCGTCCTGTTGGAAGTCTGTGTGCGCTGCTGCCCCCTGCTCCTGGCCGTCAGCTTTCCTGACTGCGGCTGCGTGTGACTGTGCGCGTGCCCACGCCGCGACCCGGGGACGGGGTGGAAGGTAGGACACAGCACCGACGTGGGGAACATGGGTACTTGGTTTCCTCCTAAGGAAACTGTGCTTGTGGGTTCGAAGCTGGAATGTCACTGCAACACTTTTCCAAACAGCTCGTGGCTTTGACATTTGGGCTGTGTGCAAACGGAAATGTCTGTGTACTGATCCTTGACACAACCAATAAAATCACAGTTACGAATGAATGAATGAATGAATGAATACAGGCCTCTGAAGAAGTGCACATACAGTTATAAAGAACATAACTTAGGGCTGGGCAGGTGGTTCCGTGGTACAGTGCTCGCCTCGCATGCATGAAGCCCTGGGTTCAATTTCTCAGTACTGCACACACAGAAAAAGCCAGAAGTGGTGCTGTGGCTCAAGTGGCAGAGCGCTAGCCTTGAACAAAAGAATCAGGGACAGCGCCCAGGCCCTGAGTTCAAGTCCCAGGACCGGCAAAAAAAAAAAGTAAATTTTTGAAAACCACATAGTAACCACCCCTCCAAATGTCCCAGTAAAGACGTCTCAAGGCGTTCTGCAGGAATAACTAACTCACGCTTCCAGCTACCCTCCTACTACAAAACAACTCAACAGAAACCTACGTAAGCACATTTCCAGGCTCACAGAAAATGCCAGGTGCCTTCTGAGCTCCTCATCCTCAGTCACCCGCTCCCTATAAGAATGCAGGACAAAGCAGCTCTGAAGAAAAAGACTTGTTCTGCAACCTGGAAGCTATCACAGCAAGTGTCAGACTTGGGACCAAACGCCCAAAGCCTGCATCAGCTCAGGTGGAGGGAAGGGAGGTGAAGGGGCCAGACTCGCGGCACCCCCTGCTGACAGGCCCTGGGTGCAGATACAGCAGACAAAGCAGGCAGGCTCAGGCCTGCAATCCGAGCTACCCAGGAGGCCCAGATCTGAGGACTGAGGTTTGAAGCCAGCCTGGGAAGGGTAAGTCCATGCAAAGATCCAGAGTTGGAGCTGTGACTCAAGTGGTAGGGTGCCAACCTTGAGAAAAAAAGCCAAGCAAGAACCCAAGGTCCTGAGTTCAAGCCCCAAGATCGGTACCAAAAAAAGGAAAACAATCTCTCTCCATAGAGGCCCAGGCTTTGTGCCTTAATTGGGGGAGGAACCTAGCAAATAGGAGACTCCGGGTTCAACGCCAGCACTGCACACAAACAAAAGAGAAAGCGGAACTACAAAACCAACAACTGTAATGGCGACAGTTAAACTTCCAATTGGTGGCTCAGGCCCACAAATCCCAGCTGCTCAGGAGGCTGAAATCTGAGGATCAAGGTCCAAAGCCCACCCAGGCAGGAAGGTCCATGAGACTCTTCTCTCCAATTAATCACCCAAAAAAAGCCAGAAATGGAGCTGTGGCTCAAGCGGCAGACTACCAGCCTTGAGTGATAAAAAGCTAAGCCACAGTGTGGGGCCCTGAATTTAAACCCCAGAAGAGGCATACGTTCACACACACACGCGCGTACACACACACACATTCAATGGGTGAAGTAAATCACAAATAAGACATACCTGAAGAGAGATGTGAAGGAGTCAAAATAGATTACATCCTCCACACGAGACCACAGGTGTGCAGAGTACGAAACAGAAACCAGTCCCGTACAGTGAGCCATGAATAAGAATCACACTCATGAGTTTAATAGACTTGGGGTCTCGAGCTAAAAGCAACACCGAACAAACGCTTCTGCAACAATCCTATCCTCAGAGGAAAGAAGAAAGAATCCACTGTCTTAGGAGAGGAACACAAAGGCACACTGCCTGTGTGCATCTGATCATACAGTGCTGACTGGCCGGGCACTGCGGCTCCCGCCTGTCATCCCAGCCACTCAGGAGGCTGAGATTCGAGGATCACAGTTCAAAGCCAGCCCAGACCGGCAAGGCTGTGAGACTCTTATCTCCACTGAACCACCTGAAAATTGGAAGTGGGGCTGCGGCTCAGTGGTAGAGCGTGAGCCTTGACTGAAAGAGCTCAGGGACAGCGCCCAGGCCCTGAGTTCAAGACCCAGGACTGACAAAAACAAAATCCCCAGAAATTCCCCCTTTGGTTGCTCACGCCGCAAACCGACCTCGCTGGGATCTTCGCCGCCCTTGCCTGGCGTGTCATTTCCTTCTCCGTTCTCATAGCTGCTGCATTTCTCCACCCACAGCTCCGACTTCTCCACGGTCAGCCGGAGTTGGTCCAGGTCGGCCTTGATCTGCTTGTAGTTGTCCACATCCTGATTGGACACCAGAAGCTGCACCTGGGTGCAAAAGAATCCCGTGAGGTGTGCCTGGATGGGGACTTGAACTCGGAACCACGCACGCTCACTGAGCTGCTATGGTCCAGGCTGGTGTTCGACCACATCTGCACTTGCTGCTGTCCAGGCTGGTGTTAGACCACACCTCCACGTGCTGCTTTCTGCTGGCTAATTAAAGGTAAGAGTCTCACAGACTTTCCCGCATGGGCTAACTTTGAACCCTGATCCTCAGATCTCATAAACTTGAACTGCGAGCCTCCGCTCTCAGCCTCCTGAGTCAGCTGGGCTTACAGGCGTGAGCCACTGGCACCTGGCCTGTGAACACGAGATTTCCACTCAGAATATAGTCACGCAACACCCTAAATTTCTCTTTTCTATCTAAAAGCCTCTTTCAATATTTTCTAGGTGCTTAAGGAATAATTCTACATTGTTTATAAGTCTTTTAGGTATGTATGAGCCATGAGAACTCACCTGGCTGTATCTGTGAGTGCTAATCATTATGTTGTTATTCTATCATTATATTTATTATTCATGTTAAATGACATCAATAGTGGTAGTAGCAGCAGCAGCAGCAGTAGTAGTAGCAGTAGTAGCAGTAGTGGTAGTAGCAGTAGTAGTAGTAGCAGTAGTAGCAGTAGTAGTAGTAGCAGTAGTAGGTGTAGTAGGTGCCAGAGCTGGCCTTGAGCCCCAGTGTTCCACTGCTAAGTGGCTTTTTCATTATGTCTAGCCCTTTCCCACTTGGAGCCATGCTTTCACGTCTGGCTTGCTTCTTGGTTCAGTGGAGATAAGCGTCTCTCAGACTTTCCTTCCCTGGGCTGGCTCTGAACTGTGATCCTCCTCTCTCAGCCTCCTGAGGAGCTGGGATGACAGGTGTGAGTCCACCCAGACACATGCACATAGAGTGTGTCCCCCGCTTCCTGAAGTCTGCGGCCGCAAGCCTCGGTGTGAGCGCTGCGAGCCCGCTGCGGGTCATGCACGGGATCAGGCCGTGAGCTTCGACCATCTGGAGCGAGCGCCTCCCCTCCGGCCCAGGCCGTGAGCTTTGACCATCTGGAGCAGAGCGCCACCCCTCCAGCCCAGGCCGTGAGCTTCGACCATCTGGAGCGAGCGCCTCCCCTCCGGCCCGAGCGCACCTGTTTAAACGCCTGCAGAACCTCTGCTCGCTGGCTGAAGTGTTTGAACAGGAGCTGCAGGGCGCCGGACAGCAGTGGCGGGTAGTCGTGCATGATGAGGTGGATCAGGACCCGCAGGAATGTCCTACCGCCTTCCTCGTCAAGCTGGACCGGATTGTTCTCCTTCCTAGAAAGCCACAAGCGACCAAGCCGCACGTCACCAGGGGCCAGCTCTCCCCGACAGACAGGTACCGGCGCGTTCCCCACATTAGGAAGTAGAAGAGAAGAATCTTCTAGTATTTTTTTTTCTATCCTGTCACTGATGAAGAAACAACCCCAACCCGGGCGCTGGTGGCAGCTCCCGCCTGTCACCCCAGCTACTCAGAGCTGAGATCAGGATCACAGTTCAAAGCCAGCCTGGGCAGGAAAGTCCGTGAGACTCTTACCTCCAATGAACCACCAGAAAACCAGAAACAGAGCTGCAGTTCAAGTTGGCAGAGCGCCAGCCTTGTGAAAAAGAGCCCAGGGATAGCGCCAAGGCCCTGAGTTCAAGTCCCAGGACCGACATCCACATACACAACTAAACAGAAAGAAAACTAAGACAAATCTTCCCAGAGCTCAAAACCTTTTCAATGTTGTTGTTCCTTTCACTGTTTTTTTCCTTCTGTCTGAAACAAGTTCTTCTCTATGTAATACAGGCTGGCTTTGAACTCTAAATCCTCAAGCCTCTGCTTTCTAAATTCTTGGAGGACAGAGACGCACCACAGCACCTGCCCAGTTCTTAACGTCTTTCTTTCCCTTCCTTCCTCCCTTCCTCCCTTCCTTCCTTCCTTCCTTCCTTCCTTCCTTCCTTCCTTCCTTCCTCCTCCCTTCCTTCCTTTCTTTTTCCCTTTCTCCCCTTTTTCTTTTTTCCTTTCTTTTTCTTTGCCTTTTCTGGTACCAGAGTTTGAACCTCGGACCTCACACTGAGGTTTTTGTTTGCTTAGCTGATGCTCTACCACCTGAGCTGGGCACCCAGTCCAGGTTTTTGCTGATTGTTTTGGAAATTGTAGTCTCAGAGAGTTTTCTGCTCTTATTTACTTCAAATTTGGATCCTCAGATCTCCTAAGCTACTACCATTAGAATGGTTCCCTGAATTCTGAATTGTCTTTCTAACAACAAATACAACCAAAAAAAGAAAGTAAGTAAAAGGGAAAAAAAAAAACCTTAGCATAGATTTTTTTTTTAATCTTCTCATGTTATTTGCAGGTTTGTGCCTGTCCTGGGGCTTGAACTCAGGGCCTGGGTGCTGTCCCTGAGCTTCTTTTGCTCAAGGCTGGCACTCTACCACTTGAGCCAAAGCGCCACTTCCGGCTCTTTCTGTGTCTGTGGTACTGAGAACTCAAGCCCAGGGCTTCAGGCATGCTTGGTGAGCACTCTATCATGGAGCCACCTGCCCAGCCCTGATCTCATTTTCTTTAACTGTGGATGCTTCCAATTGGCAGGAAAAGAGCTTTATTTCCCACATGCAAAGTTAGCAATAATACTAAAAGATGTTCACTTCCCGTCTCCAATGTCTAAGATAGAGACATAATATTGTATTAGACACAATAATATTTCTATCTGAGCGTTAAAGGATATGATACCTGAGGGTTAAAAGATATTATATAATGACTCTCAATATCTGAGATAAAATTCAAAACACATCCAGGGAAGGGAGTACTAGGGCTTGACCTCAGGATCTGACCACGTCACTTAGATGATTCTCTCCAGGTCGGTGCTCTATCACTTTAGCCACAGGTTTTTGGTGACTCTCATGGACTTTGAACCGTGATCCTCAGCTCTCAGCCTCCTGAGTAGCTGGGATGGCAGGCGGGAGCCACCGCGCCCCACCCCTTCATTACCTACCTAAAGAAAAACCAGTGCTTTCTCCTCTAGAATAAATTAAAAGCTTCCCGAATCGATGCGGGAAGGTGAGTGTGGTTAGTTATCCGGAAGGTACTAGGTAGGATCCCGTTCACCGGTGAGATAGAGCCGCAAGCGTACGATACCTTCCGGCAAACATGGTCTCCGCCTGGGCCGCGATTTCATCAATGTCAGGAACAGCAGCTGCAAAGATCAAGGGCGGAATCCATTTTTATCATGTCAGAAGCTCTGACATTTACCTGAACATTCATTAGCTTGCTGACCAGATGCCAGTGGCTCACACCTGGAATCCTAGTCCCTTGGGGGGCTGACATCTGCAGGGTCAGGGCTTTTAGATCTGTGACACTCTTATCTCCAGCTAACCAGCAAAACGCTGGACGGGAGGCATGAATCAAGTGGTGGAGCACCAGCCTTGAGTGAAAAGCCAAGTGAAGGCACCAGTGTCAGCAAACACACGTGCGCACATACACACACACACGCACACATACATACACGCACACACACACGCACACACACACGCACACACACGCACACACACACACACACACACACACACTTTTGCCTCAATTTCTTAGTGCCCCCAAATGTTACTAATTTAGAAAATTACAAAATAGTCCCACTGAGATGTTAGCATTTCAAACTGATGTGTTTACTTGTTTGTTGCTGGATACTGAACCCAAGGCTTCACATATTCTGAATTTCAGTTTTTAATATGAACTATGTTTTAAACGAATGCCCTACAATAGTCCAACATACGTGTTACAAATTAGAAGGCGTCACTTAAAAAGGTGTCACTTAGATGGTGCAACTATATATTCAAGGTATATCAAGCAAATATACGTGTATACAGTCATACATTTGTACGCACGCACACACACACACACACACACACAGAATTTAGGTTAGTGACCACATGGACAGGTAGTGTTCTGTTTGGATGATGCTGGGATTTGAACTTGGGGCCTTGCATTTCCTGAGCAGGTGCTCTGCCACGTGAGCCACGTCTCAAGTCCTTTGGTTTTGTCCTGTGTTTTTCCTCCTGGGCTAGTCTCATACCACGATCCTCCTCCAGGTAGCTGGGATTACAGGTGTGCATCGCTGTGCCTGTCCAGAGGATAAATTCTTTTTCTTCTAATTGTGGCAGCCCTAGGGTTTGAACTCAGGGCCTAGGCACAGTCCTGAGCTTTTGTGCTCAAAGCCAGAGCGCTACCACTTGAGCTATGACTCAGTTTACACCAATTCACGGCTAGTTAATTGGAGATAAGAGTCTCAAAACTTTCTTGCCTGGGGCTGGCTTGCAGCTGTGGTCCTTAGACTCGGCCTCCAGACCAGCTAGGATGACCGCCAAGAGCCACCAGTGCCCCTCATCAGGAGAATAAGTTCTTCAAGAATCCAGATGTGAGCCCTGCTAGTGTATCATTTCCAAACAGAGGCTCTTTCGGCCTAAGCTTACAGCGTCTAACATTCCCTCGTGTCTCTCGAACAGGGTGAATTTTCTGTGTGAACCAACTGTAATGCTTTTCTTTCACTATCATTATTAAGTAGCTGTACAAAGGCGTTTCAGTTCTGCTTGTGAGTACAGTGCACCTTAGTCAATGGCTTACCTCCCGCATTACGATTCTATCTTTAAATGACACACATACAATGTCCAGGTCTCCTCTCCCAAAGCATGCCATGAAATAAGAGCAAAATACGTAATTTAAAAAGAAGAAGCAGAAAAAAGAGGCCAGGTTCTGGTGGCTCCCGCCTGTCATCCCAGCTACTCAGGCAGGAGGCTGAGATCAGAGGATCGTGGTTCAAAGCCAGCCTGGGCAGGAAAGTCCATGAGACTCTATCTCCAATGACCACCAGGAAACCAGAAGTGGAGCTGTGGCTCAATGGGTAGAGAACTAGGTTTGAGTGCAAAAGCTCAGGGACAGCGCCCAGGCCCTGAGTTCCAGCCCCAGGACCAACAGTGAGGGAGGGAGGGAGGAAGGGAGGGAGAAAGGGAGGGAGGAAGGGAGGGAGGAGGGAAGGAAGGAAGGGAGGGAGGGAGGGAGGAAGGAGGGAGGTCCTTCCCAGAAAGATAATCTTAGCTACAAAGAAAGCAGTGGGGTCCATCAGAATGGGTTTTCGGGGCTCCCAGCCCTGCTGCCTGTGTCTGGAGCTCACGTCTCCAGGGCTCTGGCGTCTGAGGCCAATCATTTACAACGTCAGCAGCAGCAGCAGGTCTCTGGCTCTGCCCGGCCGTCCCTGGAAGCCAGGTTTCTGGGTTCTCCTCTGCGGGGGAGCCGGGTCACAGCCCTGCTGGAAAGTTCCAGCGCACACGGCTCGCTGGGGCGAGCTGATGTCCATCTGTGTGCAGGCGGGAAGGGGCTCGGGACAACGCTTTTGTCAGGCGTGGCCACTGACTGAGGGCAGGCTCTCCATGCAGCCCAGCGAGCCATGCACGGGGGCTGGCACCCATGATGGAGGGCAAGCTCTCCACGCGGCCCAGCGAGCCACGCACGGGGGCTGGCACCCATGACGGAGGGCAGGCTCTCCACGCTGTCCCTGAGAGCCACGCATGGGGGCTGGCACCCATGATGGAGGGCAGGCTCTCCACGCGGCCCAGCGAGCCACGCACAGGGGCTGGCACCCATGACGGAGGGCAGGCTCTCCACACTGGCCCTGCGAGCCACGCACGGGGGCTGGCACCCATGATGGAGGGCAGGCTCTCCACGCTGGCCCAGCTGACTGAGGGCAGGCTCTCCACGCTGGCCCAGCGAGCCACGCACGGGGCTGGCACCTGGCTGATGGAGGGCAGGCTCTCCACGCGACCCAGCGAGCCACGCACAGGGGCTGGCACCGGCATCAGATTGAGCTACAACCCCGGCTCTCAGAGAAAGTCCTGAGGCCAGGTGCCCGGGCTCACGCCTTTAATCCTGGCTACTCAGGAGGCTGAGATCTGGGGATGGAGGGTCAAAGACACACAGGCAGGAAAGGCTGTGAGTCTTTTGTCCAATGAACTAGCAAAAGGCAGCCGTGGTGCCGTGGCTCAAGCGGTAGAGCACCAGCCTTGAGTACAGAAGCTCAGGGACGGCGCCCAGGCCCTGAGTTCAAGTCCCACGACGGACCAACACAAACAAAAGATACCTGATGGGGACAAAGTGTGAGGGGAGGCATTGGCGGACGCGTCCGCGTTGCTCTCGCCGAACTCCTTCTTGTAAATGGACAGCATGTAGGAGATCCGGTAGTCCAGCCGCACGCTCAGGATGAACTGCAAGACATGTCCCGAAGCACAGAGTGAGGGCAAGGGGCTCGGCGGTACAGCGCTCGCCCAGCACGCAGGAAGCCCTGGGTCCCCAGCACCACAGACGCAGAAAAAGCCACAAGCGGCGCTGTGACTCAGGTGGTAGAGTGCCAGCCTTGAGCCAGAGAAGCTCAGAGACAGCGCCCAGGCCCTGAGTTCAAGCCCTGGTTTCCCCCACACACACACACATACACACAAAGGAAGGAAAACTATGAGATGATGTTTAGGGTCTGGGACACGCATTGCTCAGGGTTGAGCTTGGGACTCCTACAGGAGACTGAAAACCTTTTATGATCATAAATCTGATTGCTTCAGGGAAATGCACAGAGCCTTTCGGGCTGGGTGATCCACTTCTCCTAGCTCAGTCTGTATTCAATTAGGGGGAAAGACTTCATTAAAAAATAAGAAATAAAAGCTGGGCGCTGGTGGCTCGCGCCTGTCATCCTAACTACTCAGGAGGCTGAGATCTGAGGATCACGGTTCAAAGCCAGCCCGGGCAGGAAAGTCCGTGAGACTCTTCCCTCCAAGGAACTACCAGAACACTGGGAGTGGTGCTGTGGCTCAGGTGGTGGAGCGCCCGCCTTGAGCTGAAGAGCTGAGGGACGGCGCCCAGGCCCCTCCGCGCCGGCCCCATGGGGGCCGCAGGCTCGCACCTGCAGAATCTCAATGATCTTCAGCTTGGTGTCCATGACGGTCACGTCCTCGGGCTCGGCGGGGCTCGGCTGCTTGCTGGGCAGCAGGCCGGGCTGCGCATCGGGCACGCTCACGGGGAAGAGGGAGCCCCGGCTCAGCACCATCTGGGTCACCATCTCCCCCACGCCGTGGATGGTTCTCATGACGTTGTTTCCTGAGCGAGGAACACACGGTCAGCCCACGGCCCCGGCAGCTGGAGCCACACAGCTGTGAGGGGTGCTGCGTCTCCATCAGACCGAGAGCCCACCGGGAAATGCATTCAGGACAGGACAGGACATGGAGCCGGGCGCGGCGGCCACGCCTGCCATCCCAGCGACTCAGGAGGCCGAGCTCTGAGGAAGGAGGTTCAAAGCCAGCCTGATTGGGATACCCCAAGAGATTCTTATCTCCAATTAACCAGCCAAAAGCCAGAAGCCAAGCTGTGTGGCTCAAGGGCTAGAGCACCAGTCGTGAGAAGAAGAAAAAACGCCAAACAAAATCTAAAAACCCTGAGTTCAAGCCCCAAGTAACAGCACCAAAAAAAAGCAAAGCAAAGCAAACAACTGGGCAATTTTTAAAGTATATAGTATCTGCAGCCAGGCGTTGGCTCACGCCTGCAATCAGGAGGCTGAGATCTGAGGATCGGGACTCAGTTCAAAGCCAGCCCAGACAGGAAAGTCTGTGAGACTCTGATCTCCAATAAACCACCAGAAAACCGGAAGTGGTGCTGTAACTCAAGTGGTGGAGCGCCAGCCTTGAGCTGAAGAGCTCAGGGACAGCGCCCAGGCCCCGAGTTCAAGCCCCACAACCGACCAAAAATTATATATATATAGTTTTCAAAGAATGTCTCAGACGTACAGTTTATCAGCTGGTGCGTGCATTTGCTTTAATCCCTACACAGACCAGCAAAGAACACTGCTTGACGGAGCTTTTTCTTACTCTACTCAAAAGATCAATTTCACTAATAAAAGTGAATGGGGGATGGACGCCATGGAGAGAAAATGATGACTGTTAAGCAAGGCAAAGCATCAGCACAGCACAGCCTGCTGAGATGTGGTCACAGCCACTTGAAAACAGCGGGAGGGAGAGAATGAGAGGCGCTGCGGTTGGTAATTCTGAACGTGGGCCTCTCCGGGGTCTGGGTGAATTGGCCACACGAGTTTTCTGAATGGACAAGAAAGCCGCTCTTTGCCAGGGCCTGGGGGCTCACTCCTGAAATCCCTAGCTCAGATCGGCAGGGTCGTGGTTCAAAACCAAACTGGACAGGAAAGTCCATAAGAAGCCAGTGTGTAAATCCATCCCACCCTGGCTCAGCCTCAACGGAAGACTTGCTGACTCTGTGTTCTAGGCCCAGATCTGAGGAATTACACCATAATGGCCATGTCTCGCTAGATTTGATTGCTAGATCACCACTGTTTAATAACCAAAATATGTATATATATACACGTTTCTCCAAAGCACTTACCTCCATCTTGGAATTTGCTTAATCTTTCCAAATAGGATGACATTGGCACCTGCACAATGTCCAGAATGGCCAAGAGTGTCCTGGTGAGTCTTAACAGCTCACTGAAGCTGTAAAATCCGAAATAGATCAGGTTCCGGGCCAGATGAACCACCTGCACGTGGAACAGAAAGCGGACAGAGAGGAGCCATCGGGAAATGAAAAAAGAAAAGTCAGTATCAGTTCAGGTGCTTCTAAACTCCGTGTGTGTGTGTGTGTGTGTGTGTGCGCGCGCGCGTGTGTGTGCATACACACACACGCACATGCGCACTAGCATTTGAACTCAGGGCCTCGAGATCTTGCTTGCCGTTTGTGTTGTTGTTGGCCCATACTAGGGCTTGAACTCAGGGCCTGGGAACCGTCCTTGGGCTTCTTTTGCTCAGGCTGGGTGCTCTACCACTTGAGCCACAGCTCTCTTCTGGTGGTGTGTGTAGTTAATTGGAGTTCAAAGGCTCCTGGAGGGCTGGGCAGGTGGCTCAGTGGTAGAGCGCTTGCCTTGCATGCCTGAGGCCCTGGGTTCGATGCCTCAGCACCACATAAGCAAAAAGAAAAAAAGCCGGAAGTGGCGCTGGGCCCCTCATTGGCTCGTTAGGCTTCGGCATTTTACATTTTCTTTCTTTTTTCCCCAGATCATTGTTCTTTTGTTGTGGAGGTGTCGGTCATGGGGCTTGAACTCTGGGCCTGGGCGCTGTCCCTCAGCCCTTCAGCTCAAGTCGCGGCGCTCTACCACTTGAGCCACAGCGCCACTTCTGGTTTTCTGGTGGTTCATTGGAGATAAGAGTCTCACGGACTTTCCTTCCCAGGCTGGCTTTGAACCATGATCCTCAGCTCTTAGCCTCCTGAGTCGCTGGGATGACAGGCGTGAGCCACCAACACTGGGCTTGTTGGCCCTTTTTTTATTATTATTATTTTCAGAAAAAAATAATAGCTTTTACCAGGCAAGAAAATTCTTAAACTAAAAAAGAAAAAACCACCACACTGGGCTTAGGCAAGTCTACTCAAGGGGTGATAAGCCTGAGAGGCAGTTCAGGACGTTGACATTAGAATCATGACCTCTGGAGCATCTACCAAGTCATCCAGGTAAGTAGAACACTGCTTAAGGTCCTTGCAGTGAGTTCAATGAAGTTACCATCACTTCCGTGAAAATGGTAAAAATCCCACAGTATAAAAACACTGCGCGTCAATGGCTGACACAAACAAAACAAAAACAAACAAACCCACACAAGAGAAAGCCAAGCCCATGTAGTTCATGCCTTTAACCGCGGCAAGTGACTGAGCCAGCTGGACAAAAAAAAAAATATCCATCTCCAACATAACCAGCAAAATAGCAGGCTGGAGGCCAGGCTCACGCGGTAGAGGCCCAGCAAGTTGAAAAAGCATGAGGCCCGGAGCTCGAGCTCCAACACTGCCCCCAAAATAGACCAGCAAGCAAGGGCGGCGGTGATTCATAGATTATCACATACAGTTATCTGAGATACACTTCGAGGAGGGATCACACCACCCAAGCTACGTGTTAGTAACAGCAGAGAGAGTCACACCCTCGTGAGCGCATCTGGCCATTGCCAGGACAGAGTAGCTGTTAGAGGAGGGGAGTCTCTCCCGCTGAGCGAGTTCAGCCTCTGCTGGACAGGGACTTGCTTCGTACCTCAAAGGTGAGCTGGTTTTTCTCCTTGTCCCCGAAAGGAAAGGGCTGATTGACCACTTCTTTCAAGTATTCTTCAACAAACTCCATTGTGGGTGCAAACTTCCTCTTCATATCGTTTCTGGAAGAGTCCGTTATGGAATCGTATCTGGGGAGAAAGAAGATGACCCGTCAATTTGCTCCCGGCGCTTGGCCTTGGCGGGAACTCGAGCTGGGCGAGGTTGCTTCCAGCTGTCCTGGAGCCGAGATCAAGAGGCCATGGCCTCACCCCCCTCCCCATCTCAACTGACGGCGGGGCAGGGTGGTACCCATGGGCCAACCAGCTACGCAGGAAGAGCAGACAGGAGGGGATCACCATCAAGGCGAGCCCCACGCATCCACAGCGCTCAGCATCCACGCGGACCCACGCCCCTCAGGAGAGGGACGGCTTACATGGCAGAGCACCTGCCTGCAAGTGCAAAGTTGTGAGTTCAAACCCCGGTACTTCCAACAGCGTTAAAAAGCCAACCACACGCCGTGCTGGATACGTCAGTGCGTGTGCGCGGCTCGGGGGCCGTTGTTGTGAAGGAAATAATCCACACAGAGCTCGAGGGCGCGTCACTAGCTGCGCGTGCTGGCTTCCAGGAGGAGGCTCCAAAGAGACCTCCGCCGGGTGCCGGGGGCTCACACCTGCCGCCAGCTGCTTGGGAGGCTGAGGTCTGGGGACGGAAGCCAGCCCGGGCAGGGAGGTCCGTGAGACGAGTATCTCCACCAAACCAGCCAAAAGCCCGGGGTGGAGTTATGGTTTAAGTGGTAGAGCACCAGCCTCGAGTTCAAGCCCCGGGACGAGAGGATCTGAAGGGCAGGGACAAGGTAGTCTTTCTTTGTTTTTCTTTTTTGTCTTTCGGTGGTGGGGCCCGGGCACTGTCCCTGAGCTCAGGGCTGGCGCTCCACCCCTTAAGCCACAGCTCCACTTCTGCCTTTTGCCGGCTCATGGGAGGCTGTCCCGCCTGGGCTGGCCCCGAGCCCCGGTCCTCGGCGCTCGGCCGTGGCGGGGGGCGGGGGTGGCACACGTACTCGTGGATGGAGATCTTGGCCGGGATCTCGGTCCACAGGCGCGCGTAGCGCACGGGTACCACTGACTCCTGCGGGTCGCGGTCGGCATGCATGTGCAGCAGCAGGCGGCAGAAGGAGGCGCGCAGGGCAAAGGGCAGGCCCGGGTCCGCCACGCAGCGCAGGATCAGCTCCACCGGCAGCTGCGCCGAGATCTGGTTGATGGCCAGGTACTGGCGGTCCAGGCACATCCTGGCGAACAGGTTGAGCTGGTACCTGGGGGGGGGGGGGGTGGCCATCACTGCCTGCCCAGGACCCTGTCCCCCCCCCCCGGCCCCGCTCCAGGGCGGGCGGCCCAGGCCCCAGCATCTGCCGGACTCAGCCCAGGCTCCAGAGCCACGTCAGCACAGAGGGGACTGCGGCCCGTGGCCTTTGCCACACTGTCTCGTTCGGGGGGCGTCTGTGAGGCTAGTTTTGGTCAGTGGGGGGACTTGAACTCGGGGCCTGGGCCCCGTCCCTGAGCTCAAGGCGAGCACGCTACCACATGAGGCACAGCATCATGTCTGGTGTTTTGCTTCTTGGTGGATACGTGGAGATCAGTCTCACGGACTTTCCTGCCCGGGCTGGCTTTGAACCACGATCCTCCGATCTCAGCCTCCTGAGTAGCTGGGATGCCAGGCGGGAGCCAGTGGCCTAAATTCTGCCCTAGACTGACAGAACCTGGCCAGGGTCTTGCTCTCCTGCGTGGGCCTGTGAAGAGCTGCCTTCAGCGTTAGTAACCACGGCCACATCCTCTGAGACCCAACGTCATATTTGTTCTAAACCGCTCAGAGCCGGACTGGCCACGCCTGACCGAGCCAGGCTGGCCTTCTGCCCCTCAAATGGGTCCTACGTGCTCTCAATCCACCACCGAGTGCTGAGCTGCCCACCCTGTCCCCACAAAGCAACACACGCAAGAAATGAGCAGGAAACACGCTGCAAAACACAAACGTCCCTTCTGAATGTCTCAAGCCGTCCTAACCACTCAGCCAGCAGGCCGACAGGACTCTAGAGTTTCACAGAATCGGTGGAAACCCACACAGAATGGGAGCTCTCGCTAGTGACTCACACCTGCGACCTTAGCTATTCAGGAGGCTGAGATCTGAGGACCGACAGTCGGAGGCCAGCTGGGAGGAATGAAGAAGAAGAAAGCCAGAAGTGGAGATGTGGCTAAAATGGAGGAACACCAGCTTTGAAAGAGAGAGCCAAGGCACCGTGCACAGGTTCTGAGTTCAAGTCCCAGGACTGGCACGAGAGAGAGAGAGAGAGAGACAGACAGACAGACACAGACAGACAGAGACAGGAAGGAAGGAAGGAAGGAAGGAAGGAAGGAAGGAAGGGGCAAGGAAGGAAGGAAGGAAGGAAGGGGCAAGGAAGGAAGGAAGGGAGGGAGGAAGGAAGGGGCAAGGAAGGAAGGAGGAAAGGAGGGGGAAAGAGAAAAAGAAAA